TTTTTTTGAGACAGAGTCTTGCTCTGTCTCCCAGGCTGGAGTACAATGGCGCAATCTGGGCTCACTGTAACCTCCACCTCATGGGTTCAAGCAATTCTCCTGCCTCAGCCTCCCAAGTAGCTGGGATTACAGGCACTTGTCACCACGCCCGGCTAATTTTTGTATTTTTAATAGAGACGGGGTTTCGCCATGTTGGCCAGGCTGGTCTTGAACTCCTGACCTCCTGACCTCAAGTGATCCACCGCCTCAGCCTCCCAAAGTGCTGTGATTACAGGCTTGAGCCACCACACCGGCTCCCACAGCTGCTTTTTGTAGTTTCCTGTGGATATCAGGGGCAGACTGGGTTATACAATAGCCTCCCAAAAGGGTTTGTCCTTTCTTTGAGGCAGGATCAGTGATATACTTCCTAATTCCTTCAACTAAATGCCCTCGAAATAAAGCTGGATTCTCATCTTTATCCTGAGAATCTTCCTTAACCTGTTCATAGTTAATAGGCTTTTTCATACATTTCTTCATCCCTTCCAACAAACAAGTGACCATATGATCTCTCCTCCCCAAGTCCTCACTGCCCCTTTGATAGTTCCACTCTGCATCTTGATCTAGAACTGCTATACTTCCTGCCTGATATATCATATGGTTCGGGTCGCGAGCCAATACCTCATCTGCATGGGTCCTAGCTGTCCCCAAAATGCATTGTTTCTCTTCCACTGTACAACACAGAGACAACAAAACATGCGGATCCTACCAAGTTAAACTATAGGTCAGAGTTGATTTCTCAAACCTATCTATAAATTGTCCTGGATCTTCAGAGAAATTACCAACCTTCTCTATATATAGAGGCAAATCAGACGTAGAAAAGGGAACATGTACTCTCACAGTGCCCTCTTCCCAGTTTGCCACTTCTCTGAGTGGACAAAGATTTCCCCTTGGAGGTTGATAGGATGATAGGAGGCCCCACTATGAGTAGTACTCGCTGGGTTGAGTTCCGTGGGGAGTGGTAGGTATAGAGTGGGACTAGCTGGGTAAGGAGAAGGGACGAAGGGTTCTCAGAAACTTTCAGGTGGACTAGAGGGAGAAAGAACTGATACATCTGAACCTTCGGAACTGACAGAAGGAGGTTCTGCTCCACCCAAAAATGCCCGCTGAACCACGGCGGGGCTTGCATTAAAGGATCACCTAGTATGTCTAGATCTTTTTCTTCTTTTCCTCTCATCAAACATGATTCACATTATCCAGATAACATAAGTGAGCTGAGCCATGAATCTTAGATAAACCACAACATGGACTTCGACAAAAATGTCAAATAAGGCAAAATAAATGAAGAGGATTTAGATAAGAACAACCAGAGCAAGCAATAGCAGCAGTATGGATTGGAAAAGCAAAGCAAAGCCGGTTTGCCCGAACCCAGGAAAGGAAAGTTTTTTTGTTTTTGTTTTGAGACAGTCTCGCTCTGTTGTTAAGGCTGCTGGAGTGCAGTGGTGCAATCTCGGCTCACTGCAAACTCCGCCTCCCAGGTTCAAGCGATTCTCCTGCCTCAGCCTCCCAAGAAGCCGGGATTACAGACGAGCACCACCACACCCGAGTAGTGTTTGTATTTTTAGTAGAGACGGGGTTTCACCGGGTTAGACAGGACGGTCTTGAACTCCTGACTTCAGGTGATTGGCCCACCTCAGCCTCCCAAAGTGCTGGGATTACAGGCGTGAGACACCGCACTTGGCCATGAAGGAGCTTTTTTACTGTGCAAAATGAAACAAAACAGCAAGGAGAAAAGTCCCCTGATTTCCATCGTAATGCTTCTCAATCACACTTAGCATAGCAGCAACAAAACAGAACCATATCTATCTAATCTTATTGCTCATAGTTGTTAAATACCAAATCTCAATCAGCAATTTTAGAGACGGATCCTCCAATGCTTGTTGTTCTCAGTGTTTCACAAGCAAACGGACAGAAATCGGGAAGGACACAGGAGAAGAATAAGGTAAAATCCCTAAGACCAGTTAAATGAAGTCTCCTGCAAAGGACAGTGAAACGGAGACAGCAACCAAGACAAGGAGGACGAGGCAGATTAATATCAAGAGCATAGCTTGCGGTGTGAAACCTATTTTTTAGCCGAGAGGGACTTCACTGAGGGGCCTCTAACCCCCTAAATCTTAGAAGGGACTCTAACCCTCCTAGGTTGGGCCTCTAACCCGAGGTCAAGCATCCTTGCCTTTTATTAAGAGGGGCCTCTAACCCACTCTCTTTTAGGAAAGACTCTTAACTCCACTACGTTGGGTCTCTAACCCAATCCCATTCTTTACCCGGGCACTCCACCCCTTACCCAAAGTCGTCCAATCAGTGCTGCAATCTACTTCCTTTGGGTTGGGTGAGTTTCTTCAGTATCCTCCCTTCCGTCGTTCGCCAGAAATATGTTATAGGGCCCCAACACTTACCCAAAGCACTACAGTCCCATCTGTGGTCGCCAGAAATATGTCACAGGAAAAGGGCCCCGATCCAGACCCCAAGAGAGGGTTCTTGGATCTCGCGCAAGAAATAATTCAGGGCAAGTCCGCGGTGCAAAATAAAAGCAAGTTTATTAAGAAAGTAAAGTGAAAGAACAGCTACTCCAAAGACAGAGTAGGACGTTCCGGAAACTAAGAGAAGGAAGGTATCCACCCTAGGTACAATGCTTGTATACATGGGGAGAGGTGCTCTGCTACAAGGGTTTGTGATAAAGGATTAATTTTAATTATTATATTGTGCAAGAATCCCTATTACTATCTTTAAAGCAAAATTAGGAACGCCTTTGTTCTCCAGATATCCAGCTATCTGGACACTCGGGTCTCCTTAGTAAACATTAATTTGTTCCCTTAACCGTAAACATCTGACAGCTAGGAATATCCTTCAGAGAATGCACGCCCGTAAATCCCGGCCTCATTTTTCTAGCCCTCACTCAAAATGGGGTCGCTTCGGGTTCCAACGCCTCTGACAGTCATACTACATATGATTCAGCCACGTTGATGGAAATAGTAGACTGGATAGTGACGTACCCGCAGAAAACGAGTGCAACATCTGTCATACAGATCTGACTGCAGTCAGATTCTGCACAGTTAAGTGGAGGCGGCAAACTTGAATGCAACCATCTTCATACCGCATCCCACAAAGCCACGTAAATCGAAAAGCAGTCCGGCTCTGGATAGTGAAACACATGCGGCAACCTTGAATAGAAAAATGTTTAGACTGCCTTGGATGGAGACACGTAAATGAAAAAGCAGTCCCACTTGGGATAGTGAAGTACGGGCGCTGAACTTAAATGGAACAATCTGCATATTGTATGTGAGTAAACCAAGTAATAGCAAAGAGTAGTCAGATTACGGAGAATGATGGAGACCGATGTGAGTGCAGTAACCTTTAGCTCAATGATCGTCACGCCGCAACCAAGTGAAACCGAAAGCAACTAAGCTCTCCAAAGCACAGGCGGCCAATGTAAAAACAGAGGCGGCGTTGTGAGCCTTATGGCGTAAACGGCGTGAAGCAGGTTCGGAGACTGTGGATGTGAGCCTTAATAGCGTAAATGGCGTAAAGCAGGCTCTGGGACTGTCGATGCGAGCCTTATGGCGTAAAGGGCGTTGGGACTGTCGATGCGAGCCTTACGGAGTAAACGGCGTTGTGAGCCTTACGGCACAAACGGCGTAAAACAGGCTCGAAGACTGTTGACGTGAGCCTTACGGCGTAAATGGCGTAAAACAGGCTCGAAGACTGTCGACGTGAGCCTTACGGCGTTTATCGCGTAGAGGGCGTTGGGAGGATGATGGCGTTTATGGTGTAAAGGGCGTAAAGCAGGCTCTGGGACTGTGGATGCGGGCCCTGTGGCGTACACGGCGTTGTGAGCCTTACGGCACAAACGGCGTAAAACAGGCTCGAAGACTGTCGACGTGAGCGTACAGAGCGTTTGTGGCGTACAGAGCACAAACGGCGTAAAACAGGCTCGAAGACTGTCGACGTGAGCGTACAGAGCGTTTGTGGCGTACAGAGCATTTATGGCGTACAGTTCCGTTTATGGCGTACAGAGCGTTGCGAGGATGATGACATTTATGGCGTAAAGGGCGTTGGGAGCCTTACTGCGTAAATGGAGTAGACTAGGCTCGGAAGAGGTAAACCTATCGTCCACTGCACTCCTTCTCCACACATCCTCAGCTCAGGGTGACAGATATCACCCTCAATAACTTTCTCTCCTACGTTAAAACTGTGTATCTTTATCCAAATTTTAAAACTTGCCTAAGTAATATTGTTACTATTTCGGAGGACATTCACTTTCCTTTTTTGCTCCCGCAACTCCCGAGAGAAACAGCCATTTAAAATTTGCATGCCCCGCCCCAGACGCGCCCTGCCCTGCCTGCCAACCGCTGAACAGAAAAGAGCCTGTAAATCACTGGGATCTTGGGAAAGCTCCTTCGGCTTCATTGCCCTTCAGGAGGAAAAACCCAGAACGAAAAAGACACGAAGAACTCTATGAGGCTATTCTTTCCTCCCCCTCCCCCTTCCCCTCCCCTCTCCCTCCCTCCTTCTTCCCTTCACCTCCCTCTCCCTCCTCCTCCCCCTCTCGTCCTCACCTAGCCGACATCCGACATTTCTTTAAACTTTTATTCACACATACGTTGAGAGAATTGTTTGGTGAACACCCGTATGCCCATCACCTAAAGTCATCTTGCTGTACTTGCTTTATTATGTGTTACAGACACGTAATTACATATTTTCTATAGCTGCACACATGGAGACAGGTACTCAGGTCTCGTCCCTCTAGCCCTTTCTCAACTGTCTGGTCCGGCAAGTTTTCGAAGAGGCCAGGGTGCAGCCCCCGGGGGAGCACATGCTCTGACTGGTTCCAGGGCTGGGCGGAGCCTTGGGAAAGAGGCCCCTGTAAGAGTTAAAGAAACAGGAAATACACACGAAAAGAGTTTTTGCTCTTGTTGCCCAGGCTGGAGTGCAATGGGGCGATCTCGGCTCATCACAACTTCCGCCTGCCGGGTTCAAGTAATTCTCCTGCCTCAGTCTCCCGAGTAGCTGGGAGTACAGGAGCGCGCCACCACGCCTGGCTAATTTTTGTTTTTGTTTTTGTTTTTGTTTGTTTGTTTTTAGTAGAGACAGGGTTTCAACATGTTGGCCAGGCTGGTCTCCAACTCCTGACCTCAGGTGTTCTACCCACCTCGGCCTCCCAAAGTGCTGGGATTACAAGCCTGAGGCACGGCACCCAGTCCCATATTACTATCTTTAAAGCAAACTTGAATGCAACGATCTTCATACCGCATCCCACAAAGCCAAGTAAATCGAAAAGCAGTCCGACTCCGGATAGTGAAACACATGCGGTAAACTTGAACTGAAAGATGTTTATACTGCCTCGGATAGAGACACGTAAATGAAAAAAACCGTCCCGCTTGGTAA